AGACAAAATTTGCTTGACGCATAACTTAGCGGTTCTGGAAAAAAGTGACGCTGACTGCTCTATAACTCTATAGTTCTATTCATGGAGAAATAATGTACTCTCAAAAGAAATTAACTAGCTGGTTAATTAACTGACTGAACGTTTTGCTTTAGTTTTCAAAAAAGAAATCAAAAAAAATTACTAAGAAATACACAGTAATTTCGTTTGTTAATCAGAAAATACAAGTAAGAATCGTTTCAGACTTCTTTATTAGTAGTCGCTGCTGTTGACTGATGAATCCACGTTTTATCAGTCTATTGTCACTCAAAGACTTCTCTCTGATTTTCTGTCTTGTGCGATTCCAAGAGTTTGCTAACGTTTATGCTATCTCAAATATATAGCTTTGGTATTATAATGGATCTCAGGAATAATGTCGGAATTTTAAAAAGTGTACCATCTTCTCGAATGTGTAGAGTAAATAAAAATGGCTGGCTATATAGTCAATTAAATTTTTTGTTCATTGAGAATCACCACTATATGAAATTTGTCACAGCACAGGACTTCCTTTTTTGTTGATCTCAGCTATTCGCACTTGTTCAGTCTTCTCGTTCATGCATTAGCTTTCTTAAATGAAGAAATATTTACACTATTAGTAGCAACTTTCAAAATGCTGTTCTGAAAAAAATGTTTTTCACTAGAGGCTGTTTTTGATCAATAGGAAAAAACTAGACTGTAAAAGGAAAAACGCTAAGAAAAAAATTGGTGAGATCACTGACTATAGGCTTTCTCGCTGCTTTACTTGTAAAGTGGACCGCAAAAGTTTACGACACTTTTTATTTTTGAATTTTCCCGTGAACTAAAGTAGCTAGAATAAATCCGAGAACAGATTTACGTAGAGAACACCTTAGAGTATCTAAGCATGTAAGAAGTAAAATTTTCATTTTAACTTTAGCAAGTTTAATAAGATGAAACTTTACAAATTAAAAAGCATTAAATTTTCAACTTTTTTAAAGTTAGTCAAAAGTCATTTTCGATGATTCGGAAAAATAGAGCAGACTTTTCTCGTCAAAATGAGACGTTGTACGACTCAATGCGATTTTTCTTCAATGAGTTATTGATGCGGCAGCGTCTAGTTTTATACTGAAAAATGCACTTTTTTAACGATCTCGCTAGGATTTTTTGGTATGCTGCTTTCTGAGAAAAATCAATAACTCATTGAAGAAAAATCGCATTGAGTCGTACAACGTCTCATTTTGACGAGAAAAGTTTGCTCTATTTTTCTGAATCATCGAAAATGACTTTTGACTAACTTTAAAAAAGTTGAAAATTTAATGCTTTTAAATTTGTAAAATTTCATCTTATTAAACTTGCTAAAGTTAAAATGAAAATTTTTCTTCTTACATCCTTAGATACTTTAAGGTGTTCTCTACATAAATCTGTTCTCGGATTTATTCTAGCTACTTTAGTTCACGGGAAAATTCAAAAATAAAAAGTGTCTTAAACTTTTGCGGGCCACTTTTACATACATGTATTCGGAAAATATTTGACAGTTCAGTTCAATCAAAATCATCGAAAACTATCACTGACTGACAAATTTTGAAGAATATCGAACAGAACTTCATTAAACGATAGCAGATTAGTCTCAATAACAGTCCAAAGATCAACTTCGAAAATTTTTTGTTTCTTTTTAATGCTCAGTTTGCGAATGTCCAAAGTATTCATACTGTTGTGCTTTCGTTCCAATAATACATTCCAATCTAAACAAACTGTATACACACGTAATATAAATGTGTTTTTCCTTGTTTATTTTGATATAACCTTTATTTTCTGAAAATACAAGCGAAAAATGTTCCATTATTTGTATTTTAAACTAAATTATCGAAAAACACAAAATCAATTTTGTACACATAGAGATTCAAACACATGAACTTAGCTTTGCAGAAACTGGAAAACTAAATTCGCCGTTCTGTGTCTATATACTCCACAACGATTGAAGTTGTACAATCGACTCGATGTTATCAGTAGTAACGTTTTTGTTTAATTTGATTGTTTATTTTAGAATGATCTATGTGAATTATACTATTCGTTTACGAAGATAATTGCTATAAGATATAAGAATTGTGTATTTATGCGCTATTAGAAACAAGTCACGACCTAATGTGCTCAATCGACCATCTCCGATTTCTTCCAAAGTAGCAGACTTCTTTAGAGCAATCATTTTCATGAATTTCTGCAAATACCGGAGATCCTAAAGTTATCCTAAGTATTGATTAAAAACATACATATATGCTTGTGTTGCAAATACTCTAGTCTTTGAAAATTTTAAAATTTTATTATAACTAATCGAATAATTATAAAAATATTCTGACATGTGTAGCTTAATATGCTCTATAAAATGGCTGATTTGAAAATTCTAAATTCCATTGAAAAAGTTTATGTCTTGGTTTTCTGGAAACCTCACTTGGTTTCCAACCGATTTTAAAAGATCCCAGCAATCTTATCATGGCTCATGCTTGTACACTTCGTGTACTCCAACAATATCAAAGGGAACAAGAAATTTACTCCATTTTCCACGGGTTTGCATACCGCAGTTTTAAGCGGTTTAATAACCTACAGGTTTTACTGGTTTCTTCAAACGGCAGTTTCAAGCGCGGTTTTTACAAAAATTCTCCTGATGTTATCGCGACATCTGTTCGTTTTCTGTCGTACTCTCTTTCTTCATTCTACATCTGTTCCTATCAGTTAGACCGCGGTTGCCTTGTTCTTCCCGCTGCTTCCAAACACCGCGGTTGTTGCTTGGATTGTTTATCATGGCAATATGCTCTTCAAATGATGCACTTCAAGTTTGACTACGCTGTTAATCTAGTTAAACAAACAAAACATGATGAAAGTATATTTAGAGTGAAAGGAAATGTTTTTCTCTCCCTTTACAGCTCTTTTCTGTTTTTCTCACTACAATCATGTATTACTATTGCTTGTTCTTGTGTGATATGGTTTATCTTATAGAAAGAAGGCTGATGACACACTTTGTCTACCATATAATTTATTCTTAGCGAGCGCTTACGAATTTTCTGAAAATTGTAGAGCTTTAAATGTCTTTTTTATAAGTTCATGAACCGGTTTTGAGCTATCCAAAACAGAAAATGAGTCCTCTTCCCGGGGAAAATCCAGTACTCATTTTTTACAGAGTATCATTAGTTTATTGATAATTAGTTGAGCTAACTATCGCAGCAAAAACTCTTTGCATAGTTCCAAATAATTTTAAATATTCTACGCAAATAAGTTTCTAAAATTTGTTTCAAGTTTTGTGCAATATCATGAACATTGAAAGCATCCTTCCAAAGGTATACCTGACAATAGATTAAAGTTATTTATATTTTTCCATTAATAGAAAAGTGGAAATCTCATACAAGTTCAAAAGATTTCAAAATACTAAGTCGTCATTATTACCTAAATAGTTTTTGTTGTTATGTGCTTGATGATAAAGCAGATGTTTGTAAATTCCAAAAAAAGTAGAACACTTCTTTTCCAACTTGCACACATTATTTGAGAGAAGACACGTTATTTGAGTTGGGACACGTTATTTTTTTATTTTCAAAAGGAATGCTTGAGTGAGAAAGACAAAAAACGTAGCACAAATTAAGTGGAAAAGAAATATGACGAAGTCACACTGCGGTAAGAGTTGTGTGCTCATGCCGCTATACGAAATTCTGATCTTGTTCCTATTGTATAGATATTTTATTTATAAATTACTACATCACTTATCAAGGTAAAAGTATTCCACCAGTAACGCCTATGGTTTCACCGACGACATAAGTAGAATCATTTGAAGCCAGATAGACATATGCTGGAGATAATTCAACTGGCATAGCAGGACGTCCCATTTTTGAGTTTTTACCAAAATCTGCATTTCTAGATTTCGGATAACATGAAACTGGTAATGCGGTCCAAACAGGTCTGAAAAAATATGTGAAAAATATAAATGTTTTATAATGCTAAAATAGAAAACAAAATATCACGAACCCCGGTGCAACACAATTGACTCGAATGCCTTTTTGGATTAATTCATCACTAAGACCTTTCGTAAAGCAACAATCGCTGCTTTTGTTGTGGCATAATCAAGAATTTCTGCTGTTGGATCTAAAACAAAAAACCTCAACGTCAAACACGACTTTTATCTTTACTCTACTTACGATAAGCTTGGACTGATGCCGTATTGATAATGATTCCGCCTGGTGGCATGTGCGGAAGCTAGAATATATAAAATTTGTTAATCATACATAGATCGGCTACAAGAGATCTAATGTAATCGAATGGAAGTCTCGCTCATCAGAATTTTCAGTTGTAGGAAAACAACAATTTTTTCTTCACAGACTTTTACTGTCAACTCGAAAACGGTTCTTTTGTTTCTTTATTTTAATCCGAATTCAACTAGATCTTCTTACTCACAGTAAATCGAACCATATCAAACATTGCAATAATATTAACTTTAAATGTTTTTTCAACACGTGCATGATCAAGTTTTGTAAATTGATCCTATAAAACAAAAAAATATGACATAAAATAAAAAGATTTTCAGTAAGCACATACATACCACGTTTTTTCCTTGATAAGCAGCATTATTAACTAAAATATCGATATGACCAAATTCACTGACTGTTGTATTGACAATTTTCTGACATTGACTTTCTTCACTAATATCACCGGACTAATATATTTAAAAAAGAAAGAAAAGCAGTAAATTACTGCGTAAAAAATCTATGATTTTTTTCGAATACAAAATCGTACCACCAAAATACATTTTCGACCTTCTTTTTCAACTAGTTGCTTTATTTCCGCTGCATCTTGATCTTCATTCAAATACGAAATAACAACATCGGCTCCTTCTCTTGCATAAGCTAAAGCAACTGCTCTTCCAATTCCACTGTCTCCTAAAAGACAATGACAATTTCTCGTCATTTCATGCAAACTATGATCAATTCATTCAGATCGAAAAAAAAAGATTACTAAAACAAAATTGTTGATTATTACGATACCTCCAGTGATAATTGCGACTTTATTCTTTAATTTGCCAGTACCACGATAACTATCTACACCTTTTCAGAACAAGAAACAAATTACATCGTTAAAAAACAAAACAAAAAAAATTGAATATGATTGAGACAAAAGGGTAAACACTTACCATAGTCTGGTTTCGGTGACATTTTATATTCGAGTCCCGGTGAATCTTGTTCTTGTTGCGGGAATGGTGGTTTAGGACAATGGTCTCTTGGATCTCGTGGAAATGTACACGTTGCTACTATAAAACAAAAAATGAAAAAAATTTTTTCCAAAGTTTGAGTACGTGCGGCACCATTCTGCGGGATTGAAGGACGTGGGATGATATATATTTCGCATACACTCGATGTGGGCTATTAGAAAAACAGGTTTTCGTCAACGGGTCAAGAACTTTCAAATAAAGATGCTTTCCTAGCGGAAATCCCACAGGATTTCCGTCTGTTTCGAAGGTACTTGGCCCTTGACGAAAACCCGTTTTTCTAAAAGTGTTTTCTAATCTCCATTGGAACCACTTCATCGGATAGAGCTCGAAAAGACACGTCGAATACATGTCTTGTCGACTTCATTAAAGGTAATATTCGTCCTCAGGAGCCCGAGTTGTACTAGTCCTGCTACTCTCGAACAATTCGGACATGGTCGGTGTAAACTCTGGTACGCTTTCAAAAGAACCACCCTAAAGTGAAGTTAGAATGCAATCGCTAATTTCAAATAAAAAGTATTTGAAAAGTTTTTCGTTGATTTGAAATACAATCATCATAATGGTTTATGGAATGCTATATGTACAATCTGTCGAGATGATCCAACTATTACAGTAAACCAATTTGTAATAAAAAAATGTATTCAAATTTCAAACGTCATGTTTACTACTCATTTTTATCGAATAAATGTGACAGAAAAAATCCGGCTAAGACTGATTGTGACTGAAGTTTTCCAGACTGAGAGGCGACTGAGACTGAAAAACTTGTGACTTGCCCGTCTCTGACTATTATTAGTAGTAGCATCTCAATCTCCTTAAATTTACCTTCACTGGACGAACGTGCAATAATATTAGCGATAACCACCAGTAGTGAAAGAATAATTGCTGATTTCATCATTAACGGCACAAGTTTGACAACAATATTTTAAAAAGAATGATTTTTCTAAAATCTGTTTTTAAAACGAACTGGATAAAAAGAATTTATTGTACAATAGACTGAAATGTAAGTGCTGTACAATATGTATATATAGTGCAGATGACAAAAGGAGAGAGACGAAATTTGAATAAAGAGAGCACATGATACGAAGAAGAATAGCGGAGTACTAGAATATGACCAAGAAATGAACAATGAGAGAGAGAGAGAGATAGAACATGTGCAAACAGAGAGTGATAAGCGCACAGTAAAAGCGAGATGAATTATGCTTGGAGAAGAGAAACAGTGAATAGCCAGCGAGAGTGTGACAAAAACAAAACTTTTATATTCTCATGTAATTATGATAAAATTTTTAGCAAATATCATGTTGAGTTACTTTCTGAAAAAATTTGCAGCCTTTTGCGTCTTCATGTTTCCAAGTTATATTCTAAATATGGATCAAAATGGCTCCCTGAACTATATATATATCATGACATTTGTTTACAGTTTTTAGGTGGAAAACTATGGGGATTAAATCAAAAACACATATTCTCACTGACTAATATCGGCGCCAAAAATCAAGGCACGCGGTTGTTTTTCGAATAACTTCAAAACGATAAAGGTTAGAGACTTGCAACTTTCAACAATCGAAAGAAGACAGTTCAGCCTATATTTACATAAGCAAAACCATTTCCCGAAACCATTGGGAAGATCGGTTTTCTGCGAGATCTTTAGAAAATCACTTCGGATCTCCGGCAACTGAGATAGCAATCTATCACTTCTTTTTCAGAGATAGATAGTATGACACATTACTATTACTATTACCAGTAATAACAATATTGTATGTATTCCTGTTACTGGTAGCAGTAATCTTCCATGTATTCCTATTCCTATCTTTTATCGTTTTGGAGTTATTCGAAAAACAACCGAGTGCCTTGATTTTTGGCGCTGAGAGTAATGAGGACAGAAACTCAATTTCACCGTTAGTTATTTTCTCTTACCATTTTTATTTTATCACATTTTACGACCTTTCTTTGCAAAGTTATAGAATTTACAAGAAAAGCCCTAAATTAATCTCTTCTTATTTCTGTAGCTTTGAGGTGACAATGAACATACACCGCTTTTCTTGTAAATTCTATAACTTTGCAAAGAAAGGTCGTGTAGAGCTGGGAGATGTCTCGTTTTAATCAGAAATATGCGGGCTACAATTATGTGTCACTACTCTGTATGATGATAACAATTGATTCTTTTTTTAAGGTAATTTTTGTACATCAGTTGACTGATGATGTCTTTAGAATAAAGACGAAACGTCTCATTTTGAAGTGGTCATTTCAACATGCAAAAGGGGAATTTTAATCTTGATTTCTGTCATTTATCGTAATTGGAAATTTTTCATAAGAAGGAATCTTCTCTAGTGTAACATCCATAGAAAGAGAACGAAAGACCTACCTTGATCTGGATTATTTTGTTTTTGATATATGGAAGGAAACAAGACAGTACCAACTTGGTTTGTTTATTTTGGGAAAAGTAATTCCTTTTGATTGAATAAAATATGTGGGTGAACCATGCTGATAGGACTATGAAAAATAAAATAAGTAGCGTCAAAGAATGCGGCATCTAATCTGCAATGCGGCAGTAAATATTTACAATAAGTCTGATCTATATGCTGATCAGTTATCGACATAAATTATTCTGTTTTTGAATATGGCTGAACAACTTTCACCAGAAACGATGGAAATCAGTGTATACACTCTTTTACTCGGTGATTTCTTTCACAAGTGGATACAAAAGACAAAAACTTTGAAAATTCGATATTTTTTCCACTTGAATCTTTTCTTCTGCTATTATTTCTGTAAAAAAAGGATTGCAAAAGTGAGAATCCAGTTCTTTTTGTACTTTTGAATGTGCTCTTTCTCGTGGTTTGTAAGAAAAAACAGTTAGTTGAAGGAATCTATGGAAATATGATACGTGGGTACATTAACAATATTCGAAATTTTTCTTAGCAAATAAAATTACAAGTCAAGACCGACAAAGTACAGGATGATAGAGAATTTCAAGCACTATCAGAATACATAGTTACTTTTGTAAAAAAGTATTTCTATATTCGTAATAAATTTGAAAAAACGACTGAAAAAGGCAGTACGTGGGAATCGATGATGAGGGTAAGATGCACGTAAAGCAAACTTCGAGTGAAATGTTTTTGTGCTTTATTATACATATTCTGAATCGCCAGGTCGAGCTGATCACGAATTTTACCTTCCCAGCTCGAAAAAGTGAAATTTTGATGGAGAAAAATGCGAAGTATTGAGAATAGGTCGAAAAAGCCAAAAATCCTTCTTTTTCAAAAAAAGACGTACAATTTTTTCCGCTTATGTTTTTAC